TCACATCGTTGGAAAAGTGACTGAATTCGAGATGCTAGATCAGGATTTTCAAAATGATGTTAAAGAATAGAAGAAAGAAGTATTATAAAACAAAAAGAAAGACACTGGTTTACTATTAACAAAAGAGAGTGAAGCACTTCTTTATAATATCTTGCTCTTATTTGATAGAGATTGCTGGACAAATTATAGAACGAGTGCTGAAATGTTGCGCAAGACATACCCTCTTATCAGAAGTTGAAAAATCGACAATCTCGTCTCAAATAAAAAGAATACTCAACTGTTATATAATAGGGATTTTCTAAACGTAAGAATACATTCTCAGTATTTCTTACTCTTGAGCAAGCGACATACAACTGGCCATGCGTAAATATTTCTCTCTGAAGTCAAATTCCAACTTTTTGAAGCGTTTGGCCTTCTGATTCGTTTATAGTTCTCGCAAACGCAGGGCGAACTGGAACCGGGGTTGTTAAAATATGGTATTCGCAAACTTACGAAAACACCTAAAAAGTAATCGATATCGAGTTGTTTTCACTCGAAAACAACTGATTAATTCTAAGCAACTTACTGCTGTGGAGTTATTTCGCAGTGGAGGCGTGTATTTGTACTAAATCTGTTCTAAATAGTCTGACGTATAAAACGTTAGGAACTTGATATAATAGGTATTATGGAGAGTAATCTTGTTGTGGTCGCTGACTACTTTCGTATTCGACTAACTGTCGACTACTGTCGTTAGACATCGACGCTATTTAGTAACTGCCCCACGCAGTCACATGTGGCAGAAGGCCGAATTTACTGTGGGGTTCCCGAGCCCGTAGGCTCGGCCAAAAAATCCCCGTAGACCCCGCATAAACGGGATCGGGACTGTCTACCTCCACGGACGAGACTCTGCCCTTCGGCATAGCCTCGTCCGGGTTCCTCTCTGCCCGAAGGCAGAGAGTCGACTGTCGCCAGACATCGATGCTATTTAGTCACCCCCCACACACACGAGGGTATCATGTGGCACAAGGTCAGTTTAACGTGGGATCTCCGAGCCCATGCGCTCGGCTAAAAATATACACTTCGAACCCGTATAAACTGGTTCAGGGTCGGTTTACCTCCCCGAACGAGACTCCGCCCTTCGGCGTAGCCTGGTTCGGGTTCCTCCCCGCCCGAAGGCAGAGAGTTCAACCGTTCAGCCGGTCGTCCGACATCGACTGACCCTCGTTTCTCTTACTACTCCTACTTATATTAGGTGGGAGAGTCTATTAACTATAGAATAGGTGTGTTTCACCATAACACTTACATAGAGTTATATTTTTTTTTAAATTATACGGTATTTTGTACCCTCTTACCTGTTTGCACTTCTTCCCAAAATTTGGTTTTGATCGGTCATTGTATGGCTATTTTAGAGGGGAGGGTGCAACGGACGGACTAAATGAGTCACGGAATTTTATATTTCTAAGATAAGAGCTTACACTTTCAGCAGAACTAATTTGCCTTTAATTTTAAGATTCCTTTCATTCAAATTATTCATGCAATTAGTAAAAATTGACACACATTTACGTAGAAACCCAAATTTTTCAACTTACATTTACCCGCTTACCTGTTTGCACTTTTTTCCAAAATTTAGTTTCGAATAGGTCAATGTGTGACTATTTTAGAGGGTATAACGGATGAACTGACGGAAGTCACAGAATTTTATATTTCTAAGATTACGGATTTTCCTCTAATTTTAAGATTTCTTGCATTCAAATTATTACGTATAAACCCAAATTCTGCAACCTGCATTTGAGTTACCATATTTTATAGAATAAGTCTATTTCTTCCAGAAAAAAAAAACTGGCTCAAATACCAAGTTGAAGGTTTTTGTTAGTTCATGTTTACTCAAACATTGTAGACGATCAGTACGTACTTGAACTTAACTGCATTCCATACATATAACACTATTAAATGTAAATATAGGTGGCGGCTTCTTCACTAACGCGTCAAAAGCATTATGTAAAGGTAATGGTAGGTGGTACCACCACACCTTGACATTATGGAAATACCCAAAGCTATATCATTTGTACACTGGCATCTTATGAATTAGAGCGACTTTAGCTCATTGCGTTACGTGTTGTCGTCGTCCTTATTTTGCTGGCTGGCGGCCATTTTAGTGGTTGGAACATTTTTTTTTTCGTTCAGCTATTCTTACGATTTTATGACCACAAAGACACCAATTTAGATTGCATTGCATGGCATCAATGGTGCGTATCTTCCGTCAAAACACTTCTCAGATATTTAAACTTCTGCACATGCTTGATTTTAGCGTCCCTGGACTGCAAATCGCATTTCGGGCTCATCATTTTATGATGACTATGCTTTCTATCTTAAACTAGTTCACCTACCTGTCGTCATAATTCCGCAGGCAGTTTCTAAGACGAGAATTTCTTTTTTGCAATAAGCCGACGAGTGTTGGAATTCTCACAGTATTTAGTATTGTTGAAGTTATCGCTTCCTCTGCCCATTCGAAACTCTCCCTAATGTGTTTATATTTACAGTGGCTATTAATGCTTATCATATTTTACCAGAATGAAATATATACATAAAAACAATATTGCATTAATAATATTTATTAAATAAATATTTTTATTTTATTTTAATCATTAATTTGTTTTTAAAATAGTGGGAGTACTTTGTATGTTAAATAATAAAACTTAATTTTCCATAATATTTAAATTCTTGTAATTATTTGATTTCGATATCCCCAATTTGTAATTTGCCGGTTGAGCTGTCCCTTTGTCTTTTAACTGAGGTTTAATCTTTTCTTCTCGTTTTTCCTTTACTACCTCCTGTAAGAATTCTTGTAGTTTCCTTTCTGTGTCTGTTATTGACACTGTGTCACCTAAATATCTTACGTTGTTAAAATTGTGGCCACCAATAATGAATTCTGGTCATATTTATAATTGCTGTTATTTCTTATCGAAAACTGTGATATTTCAATGAGCCGTCGTAGTTTTATTTCTGTAAAGGTAAAAATCTGTCTGCTGGCATTCGACGAAACAGAAGGAAAATACAAACTCTTTCTTGTATAAAAACAAACAATTATTTTTAAAAGTTTTATTCTTATTCTGGCAAACTTAGGGAAACCTAGGTTTCCGGTGAACACCGGTTTAAAAACCACTGCTCTAACGGTTTCCAAATGAGGCAGCCTTCCAAATTTCTCGTGGGTCTGTTTAACATTTTCTACGGGGACAAAATGTGCTTTAATCGCCAGGTTGCCAGGATTATCCGGTCTACAACTTTCGTTCTTTGCTAAAAGTAGCTTCGAAAATAATTTTATGTCCAATATCAATATTTTCCAAAACGATCTGTTGTTCAATGGTACTTTTTATGGCTCGAGTTTCAAAACCAGTTTATCCACCTGTCGTTATAATTTCGCAGGCAGTTTCTAAGACGAGAATTTTTTTGCAAATGGCTGACGCGCGTTGAAATCCTCACAGTATTTAGTATTGTTGAAGTTATCTCTTCCTCTGCCCATTCGAAACTCTCCCTACTGTGTTTATATTTACAGTGGCTACTACTGTGCAATATATTTTACCAGAATGAAATATATACATAAAAACAATATTGCATTAATAATATTTATTAAATAAGCATTTGTTATTTTAATCATTAAATTGTTTTTAAAATAGTGGGGATATTTTGTATGTTAAATTTTAACACTTTTAATTTTAAAAAAAAGTAACGAAAATTGATTGTACTAAGCTACACACTCTAGTAAAACAAAATGTACGAGTAAATCAAACTGTATTAGTAAAAACTCTAACCCCTTACATATCTGCACTTAACCCCCAAAATTGGTTTCGATCGGTCAATGTCTATTTTAGAAGGTGTGGCTGACGGACAAACGGCAATCGCAGAATTTTATATATAAATAGTAGGCATCCATTGATTTTACTGAATAATAATTTCATAGAAAGCCATTATATATATATATATATATATATATATATATATATATATATATATATATATACAAGGTCTGGACATAAAGTATTTAGCGTCTTCAGTAGAATATCCTCAAAGCCAGTGAACTCTGCCTATTCTCAGACTTCAATGTTGGAAATGAAGTCACTTCCAGAATGTTGAAAATATTGCTAAAACAGAGCTAGTGGAAACACTCAAAGAGTCGCAGGCGGTGATGATAGGTGACCCAGGACTCGAAAACGTACAGGAAGATGGTCATTACAATAGCTCTGGACATAGTAATCTTGTCTCCAGGCGTTTGTTCTCACAGACTCGTTTATATAATCTGCAGAATTCACGGTTTGCTTTCCTCAGTTTGTTGTCAAAATTCTTTGTCGATCTTGGCGTCTGGTGAAATGAATCATTTTAATGCTCATCATATTTTACCAGAGTTAAATATATACATAAAAACAATATTGCATTAATAATATTTATTAAATAAATATTTGTTATTTTAATCATTGTATTAGTTTTTTTTTTAAATAGTGTGAGTATTTTGTATGTTAAATAATAAAACTTTTAATTTTCCAAAAAAAAAATAATGAATATTACTAAGTTTTACCCTAGCAAAATCAAATGAACTTTGAAACCCCCTACCTGTTTGCACTTTTCCCAAAATTTGGTTTCGATTCGTTAATGTATGGCTATTTTAGAGGATGTGACAGACGGACTAACGGGTCACAGAATTTTATAATCGATAGATAGATAGATAGTATTTCAGATGTAAGTCAGTTGAGCTGCCCTGTAAAGAAATGTTTTCTCGAGTAAAGAAATACTAACCCGGAAAGAAATGGAAGATCAAAAGATTATACATAAAAGTCTCCCTGTCTTGCGTATTCATAGAAACATACACGTTTGCAATGTTGACTTTTCGTTACGTATTCCATTTATTTCCGAACAGAAGTTTAAGGCCATTTTTCAATTTCATGTTCACTTCCGGCAACGAGCATTCATGAACCTTATCAAAATAAAAAAAAAAAAAAGATATTAAAAAAAAAAAATATTGGCGCGAAATGCAGCGAAACTCGAAACAGTGTCAAAATAACACCAGTCAAATACAGGATGATAAAAGAAGCCATTATAATTTCCCGATATGCTCTCGCTCTCTCTCTCTCTTTAAAAGCCTGAATCTTATGCCCAAAAGGACAACGCCAGAGGGCAGATTAAAAAGTTTTCTTTTTTCAGTGCACATTCAGCGAAATTCGCAGTGTTCGGGTAAAGCAAAAAAAAAGAAAAGCGAAAGTTTTACAGATGCGTACAAAAAAACGAGAGATAAACTTCCTTATAAGTTTCCTTTCAGAATCAAATAATAATAAACAAAATGACCAATAGTCATTCTGCATTTTACAACGTCACCACCGACCATTAATGTTCCAAAACAGGCCTTCCCAAAGGAGTGTCACATAAAAATCAGTACAATTAACACCTTCCCCGATGTGTATATAAGTTTTTTTTTTTTACCGAAAAGCGGCTTTATCAGACACAAACGCATAAACACGTCCAAAACATAACGTTCAAAAACCTGCCACTAACTTGTTTATACGTCGATCTTGATTCTTTTTATGCCCTTCTAATCATGAAACGCGATCAGTTGTCAACTCATACGTCCGGTAGAGGTGCTAGTCACCGCTTGGACACTTCAAGGTGCCTCAGTTTCTTAGTTACTATATTAAAAAGAAATAAAAAATTAGTCTGAAAATTAAATATTTTCCCCCAAATAATTGCTGGGGAATCTGATTTTTTTTTTTAATTCCATCTTTCTGCTTCGATTTTATTTGCCGTCTCCCTTTAGCAAGAGGACGATCATGGTTCTCCACAACTTCCTATCCTATGTAGCTCTTAGTAAATTTTCTCTTTTCAAAATCATTGCCTTCAATTGCTTCTGTGAGTTTCAGATTCTTTAAGTTCTCTTTCCTCAGTATGTGTCGCAGAAATTTCAAAAAGAAACTGCAACCTACAGCCGTTAAAAATGTTCTGCCTGGACAGTCATGTATCGAAAGAAACATGATCGCCAAACGTCTATCACGTATGATTCACAATTCGATGACTAATACAAGTCTTAATAATTATTCCCAATCGGTCTCTCATCTCGGTATTGAAGTGGCCCAACATTGCTTAACTTCAGAAATCGTACGAGAACCGGCGTTTCAATGTGACCAATACCAATACCAAAACCACTGACCCATTCAAATTTAAAGTACCTGGTATTCTCAAGCGGTCACCCATCTAGGTACTGCCAGGCTCGACGTTGCTTAACTGTGCTGATCGCAGCAGAAACGTTTCATTGTTCGTAAGAGAACCGTTGTTTCAACGTGATATGGGCGTGACCAATACCATTGATAGATTCAAATTTAAAATACGTGGTATTCTCACGTGGTCACCCATCTAGGTACTGCCAGGCTGGACGTTGCTTAATTCTGCTGATCGTAGCAGAGCCGTTTCAGTGTTCGTAAGAGAAACGGTGTTTCAATGCGATGTTTACCATCAATTTACACAAGCTCGTTAGGTAAATTACTTTATTCTTCTCTCCATCTTTCTTGCCTTCAATTGCTCCTGTGAGTGCCAGATTCTTTAAGTTCTCTTGCCTCAGTATCTGTCGCAGAAATTTCAACTATCTCTTTTTTTCTTCTTTTTGTATCTATTTTACTCAAAGCTCTGCTATGTCTATTGTCTCCCCAGCATTTTCCCCTACAAACATATCTTTCTTGCTTCAAGATATTACTGGTTGTTTGTTGCAAGTTTGTCCTGTAAAAAGCAAAAGACATATCAATTGTACGTTTAAATTCTAAGTAAATCCATATATTTAAAATGAACGAATAACGATGAAGAAAAAAAAATATGTCGTATTCACAGCGTTTCCGAGTTTAATTCCTTCCATGTCCAATATCTGGATTTAATGAATCTGCTATCGAAGTACTTTTCTTTATTTTTTGATAGTCCTGAGTATGACGATAAACTATATCCGGAAGGCAGGCCTCTGGTCGGATGTTTTTGAGGAGTGTGGAACGACCTTTTAATTCCGGTTGTTCCTAGGTCTACGCCGACCCCAGTGGTGGCATATGTCATGGTCCTGGCTATAGACAAATAGTTATCCCAAAAACTAGGGTCAAAACGCCATGAAAGTGTAAAATAGGTTTTTATAGTAAAAATATCCGCAATACATTTTTTTTTAAAAAATTTATTACCTGCAATACATTTAAAAAATATATTACAAGTACAGGGTAACCCGGATATAAGAGAGTTGTCGGGACCGGAGAAGAAGTCTCTTATATCCGGGTTTCTCTTATATCCGGGTTTGGTCTATTTTGTTTACATTAACACAGGCTGTAATTTGGGACAAGAGAAAATCTCTCTTATATCCGGGTTTCTCTTATATCCGGGTCTCTTATATCCGGGTTACACTGTAATACATTTTTGAAAAAAGGATTATTACCAGCAATATATTTTGGGAAAAAAAATTATTACCAGTAATACATTTTTGGAAAAAAAAAATTATTACAGGCAATACATTTTTGAAAAAAGATACTAGCAGTAATAAATTTTTTTGAAAAATAAAATTATTACTAGCAGTACATTTAAAACAAAATTATCAGCAATAAATTAAAAAAAAAATATATCAGCAATACATTTCTGAATAAAAAAATTATTACTGGCTATAAATTTTGGAATAAAAATTATTACCAGCAATAAACTTTTGAAAAAAAAATATTACCAAACAATGAATTTTTTGAAAAGAAAAATATTATCAGCAATACTTTGTTGAAAAAAAAATACCTGCAAAATATCGTTAAAGAAACCGGATGTATAAACTGATTTCTTACAAACAATGCATATTCTATTCATACGAACCTATCCTACAAATCTTGTCGGCATTAAATAACCCATTGAGGTGTTGATATACTGTAAAACAAAATAAAGCAAGTTAAATAATCTTATTTTTGGTGACTGGCAAATTTTTAGAATGAAAGTCTATTCATCCGATACCCTTCGTAAGAGGAAAAATGTGAATAGAGAAAATAAAATTCGAACCTTGTTCTTGAACACGTCTTTACTATTAACTTGAAATCTCGGTTTCGTAAGAGAGCCAGTGTTTCAACGTGATATGGCTGTAATCAATACCACTGACCGATTCAAATTTAAAATACGTGGTATTCTCAAGCGGTCACCCATCTAGGTACTGCCAGGCTCGACGTTGCTTAACTGTGATGTTCGTAGCAGAACCGTTTCAGTGTTCGTAAGAGAAGCGGTGTTTCAACGTGATATGGCTTTAATCAATACCACTGACCGATTCAAATTTGAAATATCTGGTATTCTCAAGCGGTTACTGCCAGACTCGACGTTGCTTAACTCTGCTGATCGTAACAGAAACGTTTCAGTGTTCATAAGAGAACCGATGTTTCAACGTGATATGGCTGTAATCAATACCACTAACCGATTCAAATATAAAATACGTGCTATTCTCAAGCGGTTACCCATCTAGGTACTGCCAGGCTCGACGTTGCTTAACTGTACTGATCGTAGCAGAACCGTTTCAGTGTTCGCAAGAAAACCGGCGTTTCAATGTTATATTGTTCATAAGAGAAACGGTTTTACAACGTGATATGGCCGTAACCAATACCACTAACCGATTCAAATTTAAAGTAGCTGGTATTCTCAAATGGTCACCCATCTAGGTACTTCCAGGCTCGACGTTGCTTAACTGCAGTGATCGTATGAGAGCCGTTACTTCCACGTGGTATTCTATTACATCATTCACACATCCAAGGATTAATCACCTGCAATTCCGAAGCGGTCACCCCTCTAGATCGTAACCAGTCTCGGCGTTACTTAACTTCGCTATTCGTACGGGTAGCAATGTTTCAACGTGATATGGTCGTAGCTTATTAATAACGATGATGATTGTATCAACCAAGAGGCCTGGCGATAAAAAGTAACAGTAATAATCTAGTGTAAAACGGATAATAATGCATAAGTTATAATGAAGGGTATATCGATCAGGTACCCTGTGATTGACTTACCACTTTAGCTATCGATTTATCTATCTATAAGGAAGACGGCCGTATTCCGTGAGATTAAGAAAGAAACATCAATGTCTGTCATTCGCTGTCGTTGGCGAAATCAATACTTATTTATTAATTAGATCGATATGTACTGATTGACCTCCAAATCTCACCCGATTTGTTCTCTCCGCGTCTTCCGCTCTTGATCTTCATTCTTGTCTGTCCGGATATATTGATCTTTCCAGATTGTTCTTTTATCGATTATAACTTGCTTTTTACATTTATAGCAAAGTGAACCATTGAAAGATCTTGATCAACTCTAAAAGTACTTAGACATATCAGCACTTACCTTTTACTAATTAGCACCGCACACCTTTCTTTCTTTAAATTATATAATATATATATATATATATATATATATATATATATATATATATATATATATATATATATATATATATATATATATATATATATATATATATATATATATATATATATATATATATATATATATAAAATATATATATATATATATATATATATATATAAAATATATATATATATATATATATATATATATATATATATATATATATATATATATATATATATATGGTTATAAAAATATTAAAATATATATATATAACTATATATATATATAATATATATATAAATATATATATATTTTTGCTTTATAAACTATAAAAATATATATATATATATATATATATATATATAACACATATATGGTGAGTGAGATATATATATATATATATATATGGTTGGATAAAAGACAAACCTTTGTCTGACGATCTCTCTAACTCAATCCAACCAAATATGTTAGCCTATCTGATATATATATATATATATATATAATTATACATATATATATATTTTTATTTATATATATATAAATGATATAAATATATATATATATATTTGTGTGTGTCTTCAGTGTTTTTTAGCTACACTTTTAAATTTAAACTGAGTTGATTTGTAAAATAAAAAAGAAGAAAACAACCTGATAATAGGATATCGGATTATATATCTGTTGACTGAGACCGATAACATACCTACAACACGGACTCTTCCAGGACTAAACGACCCTGCCAGATATAACAGACTTGCCATAAGCCCATAGCTGGAGGGGGAGAAGAAGAGAGATTCACAACTTTCCCAAGAGACGTAAGAATGTAATGGATTCGACTGGAATTCGAACTCTGAGATTCCTCAATCCGAGCTGCTATTCATCCATTGCTGGGTGGGAGAAGAAGAGAGGATTCATACTAATATTAGCACGTAACTGGAATATAAGGATTCGATATTCGAACTCGAATCCGAGCTGCCCGGTCTGTCCTGCTATTCATCCATTGCTTGGATTCATACCTTCCCAAAGGTATTAGACGTTTGAATTTTTACCTCCTTTTCCTCATTCCGAGCCTCCGTGTCTGTCCTGCTATTCATCCATCGTCAGAAGAAGAAGAGGATTCCTTTGTAATGGATTCTGAAATTCGATCGGCTAAATTCGAACTGCCCGGTCTGATTCATCCATTGCCATACCTTTCCCAAGGGTATTAGCACGGTCGACTGTCCTCGGCTCTCCGATTCCTCATTCCGAATCCCTGCTAATCCATTGCTGGGTGCGAATACCTTCCCCAAGGGTATTAGCACGTAAGTGAATGTAATGGATTCGACTGGAATTCGAACTATTCTCTTCGATATCCATTGAGCGCTGATTCGACTGGAATTCGAACTCCGTATTCCTCATTCCGAGCCTCCATCCTGCATATTCATCCATTATATAAATAATTCATACATTTCCCATATATATATTCGACTGAAATTTCGGCTCTCCGATTCCTCAATATATATATTCATCCATTGCTGGGTGGGAGAAGAAGAAGAGGATTCATATACACGTAAGGAATTTCGACTGAATTCGAACATATATACCGAGGTCTATATATATATGTGTGTGTGTGTGTCTGTGTCTGTTCTGCCGAGTGTCCTGTTTATTGTTAGAAAATTCTAACTTTCACTACTTCTGCTTTTTCGACTGAATTCGAACTCGGCTCTCCGATTCCTTTGTTGTCTGTCCTGCTATTCATCCATAGTTGATTTGCCGGGTATTAGAAAAAAAAAGAAAAAAGACCTGATAATAGGATAATGTAATGAGACTTCGAACCGCGATATTGCGCTCTGGTCATCCATTGCTGGGTGGGAGAAGAAGAAGAGGATTCATTTTCTTTTCAAATATTATATACATACGAACTACCTCTCTACCCGTCGAATCATCCATTGCTGTCCACCCGGTCTGTCCTGCTAATCCATTGCTGGGTCAAGAAGAAGAGGATTCATACCTTTCAGATCAGTTTCTAGGAAACTGATAGCCTCCGACACCATCATATGATTCATTTGATTATAGTGGTGAAGGTTTAATGGATTCGACTGAAATTCGAACTTAGCGAGATCACCTGAAATTCGAACTCTTCCTCAATTCGAACTCTGTCTGCTATTCATCCACACTTTTGAAGGGCTGAATAAGATTCGACATTCGCGCATTCGTAGAACTGCGACATCCATTGGGTATCGAAACGACCCTCGCCAGACTGTTTTCAATTCAGAGTTGTTCTACTCCTAGACCAGTTCATACCTTTCCCATCCAAGGCTAATAGAACCCAACTCTCTCTTGCTATTTATCCATCCATTGCTGGAGGGAGGAGAAGAAGAGGATTCACACCTTTCCCAAATGGATTCGACTGAAATTCGAACTCGGTTATTAGCACATAAACTGAATGTCATGGATTCGATTGGGAATTCGAACTCGAACTCGCTCTCCGATTCCTCAATCCATTGCTGGGTGGGAGCCGCTATCCAATTAGCACGTTCCATTCGTGCCTGCTCTCTTCCTCAATCAGTCTACTTTCTCTCTCTTTTCTCTCTCTCTTGTCTGTCTGTCTGTCTCTCTCTCTCTCTATATATATATATATATATATATATATATATATATATATACATTCATATATATATATATATATATACATTCATATATATATATATATATATATATATATACACACGATATATATATATATATATATATATATATATATATATATATATATGTGTGTGTGTGTGTGTGTGTGTGTGTGAAACACACACACATACACGCATATATACATATATATATATATATATATATATATATATATATATATATATATATATATATATATATATATGATCTTCGGAAGATTGTCCATTCTTTTCTCCCAAGCTTTCAATTCCGTCTGAAATCATCTTCAGAAGAAAGAATCTTTGGCAAAAGTCTGCTTCGCAGTTCGCAGTTTGCCTCTGTATCGTAGGCCTCTTATCATCGGCCTCTTATTCCGTTGAGTTTTCAGATTCTACGCGTTCTGAATGGTCTCTTTGAATTTTAGCCGTTAAGTAATCCTCGCGAGTTCTGAAGATTGAGTGCGCTTGACATGTGCCAATGATAAGACACCCTACCACACACAGTAGTGAATTGTGAAGCTTAGTGGTTTCTTCCTCTGAGGATGATCCCAGACGTAATTGAAAACATGGGAGGAATGAATAAAATTCCGGAGACCGTCATAATCTCTGAAATATTCCGCCCGGACTTCACATATAAACAGCTATCATAATATCATATATATATATATATATATATATATATATATATATATATATATATATATATAAAAACGAGTTAAAACATATTTTCAAAATAGAATTACATATTAAATGATTACAGATTGATTTAGGTTTATTCAGAATACACTTTCCACAGAGAGCATTCTACAAAATTTGCACAACACTAATCGTGAAAAACTACTCAGCCAAAAGCAAATTATTACAGTAATAAAACTCATGGACAAAAAAACCCCAAATTTCGTAGAGTGAGCACTACATTGATTATTTCTCGTCTCGTTGAAAAAGGACACAGGCGTGTCCGAAAATTCCAACTTTAAATACCATTCCAACATTTAATCTTTCTCTTTGTGTTCCGGTTTAGTCAATATATAATAAATATTTTCAGCCTTATTGACAATATATTTGCTATTTTGTTTCTTGCTGTCTTTTTTTACCTCTTCGAATTTCATTAACCGAACTACTAAATCCATACAAAGACATAACTCTCTCTCATATATATATATATATATATATATATATATATATATATATATATATATATATATGAGGAATGAATTTTGACTTAAACCAACATTGTTTATCAATACTTTATAAAATCTGGATTTCATCCACTGGCTTGTGCATTAGAGTTTTTTTTTTAAATAAAGATGTATATGTGTCCTTCGGTAGGATTGGAACCTGCAACCCCATTTTCTAAAGGAAATGACCATCTCCTCATGGGTAATTAGATTGCTCGGCTGAAGAGACATCTCTCTCTCTCTCTCTCTCTCTCTCGCTATATATATATATATATATATATATATATATTAGAAAAGTGTAGATGGTTCTGCACAGGTCTTTAGCATTTTAATCAAATCAATTGTGTGGGTTTTCTGGCGGTTTACCTAGCGTGATGTAGTGGACTCAGCAGTTTTCAATCACCTCGTCTGAATCGTCTTCAAGAAGCGAGAACAAGATCTAAAATGTCAGCCAATCTAACAGTGATCTCATCTCAAAATTAGATTATCGCACAAACTTTCATAACTGAATCAATTAATTTGTCAGATCCTCATACGTCGAAACCGACTGGAGAGTCCATTATTATATATATATATATATATATATATATATATATATATATATATATATATATTGCTGATATTTTTTACCATGAAAATGTATTTTTGATAGTTGATTTTATTATGAAGCTGTTTTGGCAGTGTTTTTTTATTAGAAAAATGTATTTCTGCTATTTTTAACTATGAAAATGCATATATTATTTACTGGCTATATTTTTTACTATCAAAATGTATAACTGGTATTTTTTTACTACGGAAATGTGTTTCTGGCAATTTTTTCTATGAAAATTTATTGCTGGTATTTTTTATTATGAAAATGTATTTCTAGTA